TTACCGGTCGCGGGGTTTTAAATACCGCATGCCGGCCGCGCCGAGCCTGGGAGGGCTCCCGAGGCGCTTCTTGCGTGGGCACGGGTGTCTGGGAGGTGGGGCTGTACCATTTCGGTTGGGATCTGCCTCACTTTCTCCACTGGATGAAAACAAGTCATCCATAGTGTGTGGGGAAGGGAGGAAAGGCGCTGGGTGCCAGGACCCTATGAAAGTGTCTGAGCAGTGCATCTGTCGGCCGGGTGCTCCTGCAGCCTCTGATTCAAGCCGAATTGGAGCAGCTTTGAGCAAACACCTGTTTTCTTCTGTCTAATGAGGTTCGATTCAGTCAGGTTTAGCCCTCTTAAACAATTCTTTTTTTTTCCACATTTGATCAGGAGTATGATGGTGAACGCAATTCAGAAGGTGAGCGACATGGACGTGGAAAAGCACGTCTACCCAATGGTGATACATATGATGGAGAATATGAACATGGTTTCAGAAGTGGACAAGTAAGGCAGCAACAGGAGACAGTGGTTGTGCTTATGTTTCAGCAGTTCTGTTAGTTTGGGCACTATATAGAAACGAGTGAGAACTGACAAGTATTTTTTCTAAACCAAATATGTTTCAGGGGACCTACAGATTTAGAAATGGTGCTCGCTACACTGGAGAGTATCTTCAAAACAAGAAGCATGGCCAGGGTATTTTTTTTTATCCAGATGGATCGAAATATGAAGGTAAAACACTGAACACAGTTGCAAGGATATTTTAAGAAGGTAAATTTGCCACAAAATGTTTTCCTTTTATTCCTTTTTTACTACAAGCTCTGAGAAGTGTGGGGTTTATTTGGGGGAATTTATGTTGATTATTGTGAGAAGTGTGGTATATAGTAGCGGTTTATTCTTGTCACATCCTCCTTTCAAGTGGGGTGTTCAAAGTCCTGAGAAATGTTAAGTATCTTTTACAAATCAGTACAATCTTGGTAGAAGAGAGTATAGTTACTTATTTCTAAATGATTATTAGAACCACAGATGTGTTCAGTATAAAGCATTTTAGGACTTTATTAAGTCCATCCTTTAAAAAATTGTCTACTGATTAGAGCACTTAATCAGTGACTGGGATGCCTCTGAAGTTTGAAGAAGCTGAAACTCACATTGTTTCCCTTCCTTCAGGAGAGTACCCAAAACACTCTGAATATGAGTTAGGCTTCAAAGGACAATATTTCATATTCCCCCCCCCCCCCCGCCTTTCTAATCTAGGCAAGAAAGAACATTCACATGGTGAGGGCTAGAAGCAGAGAACAAAAAGAGCAGCCCAAGCTTGCCTTATGGGAGCATATGCACCTGTGATATTTTTTTGTTTGTTTTAATTTCTTTTAAGTTTAAATAGAAGAGTAATTAAGACACACAGTCTAGCATCCTTTTGAGTATATATGCCCCCTGACTGACGGGACAATTTTAACCAACGAATCAAATTAAAGTAGTCCCTCTTTTTATTTGAGTGGAAATGTCACGTTTATCTAATGCAACTGTAATACATTACCAAATTTAAAGATAGGAGCAGGATGTTACATGGCTTCTTGCATTCATAATGATAATGGGGAGTGATAATGGACACAGACCCTGATGGACAAAATGAAAGGGAGGTCAGGCAGCTGCATAAACATGTGTGGAGAGGGACAGACAGAAGCAAAAAGCACAAGGGCTTGGAGTAAGGAATGGTAAGGAATCACAACGGTGTCATGTCTTTCTTTTCCTTCTCTAGTAGGTCATGTATGATAACTTTACAAACTGGCCACTATATCACACAATGAAATACACCACATCTCACACTGTTTTTATCGTATTGTCATTAAAGGAGATTGGGTGAATGACCAGCGACATGGCTACGGAAAGTATACATATGCAAATGGAGACACCTATACTGGAGAATGGCTTAACCACACTAGGTTTGTTTCATTCTTACAGTGATGTTTCAAGTCACTCAATGGCATTAAAATGCAAAGGTTATTTTCAAAGTGTGGCTGACTGCAGCGAATCAAGTGTTACTGGATGACCTTGGCAATTTAGTCCAACTTGAGTCATTTCAGCTGCTTAAATTATGGTTTTAATGCCTTAAGTATAACGACATCCTAAATTCTTAATATTCAGTAATATAAAGCAAAATTATTATTTTCTCCTTAGGCACGGGCAAGGTACATATGTCTATAAAGACACAGGATCTAAGTATGTTGGTGGTTGGGTAAATGGAAACCAGGAAGGAGAAGCTGAACTTATCAACCTAAACCATAGATTTAAGGGCAAGTTTTTGAATGGAAATGTAAGTGTGCTGGAAAACTCTCTATTAATCTGAACAGTTAGCATGGAATTGGCTTAATATGATCTGTTTCCACCTAAAATAAGAAGCTAGGCTCCTGATTTTTTGTAGTATTTCTTGTAGCATAAGTGTAACATACGAAACTAAATTAATTAACTGAACTTTTTTATATCTGTGTGAAGCCTGTAGGTCGTGGCAAATATGTCTTTGACATTGGATGTGAACAGCATGGTGAATACATACAATCAGAGCAGGTAAAAGAAAGAGTGCAAATTATACTGAATACCAGAGAACCCAGTAAACCAAATCTATTGTTGTGTGATCTATAAAATGCCATATAGTTACTGATGTTAAAGTAGATCTAACCGGTCAAAAAAGGGTAGAAACTCAAGCATTCTTAAGAACTAAATGAGGTTTCATTTTACTTTTTTCTTTAGCTTCTCTACTGTGTAAGCTTTGATGAGTACAAAGTGTGATTTTTGCACTACTTGCAGACAGGAGTCCTTTCTGCTCAAAGTTTAGAAGGATCAGGACCTTCCCAACACATTTGAAGTTTCAAACCCTAGAAGAATGTAGATGTGTTTGTATATTTAGCCTGTATTCCAATTTGTTCTGAACACCAGAAAACAATGAAAAATATTTATTATTCTATTTCTGAATTGCTTGATGCTATGCATACAAATGGTAATTTCCAGCAGATTTGTGTTTTGGAATTATGTTCCTTTGTTGTCGTGGTCCTGTTAGGAGCTTAATATCCACAGCTCCTAATAATTGTAGGGAGCAGCTGGGATCAGGGCCTGGTTTTCCTTCTCCTTCATGCATGAATGTTTTGAAATGTTTCTAATTAATGTGGTGCAAAATAGCTAGTATATAAGAAGTATATTTTAATATTACTGTTTTGATTTCAAGAAAATATGCTGCATTTTAGCTTAGAGTTTGCTACCTCTGTTGCCTGACACATTAGTTCCCATCAGACAGTCTTTGAAAATTCTTCAATGCAGAAACTGTTTCTTAAGAAAAGGACAAAATAAGAATAAAAAAAAAAATCCTATCATTACTGATAGGGATTTGCAAAACATGGAGATTGTTTTACTTTTTTGGCTAAAAGCAAGAAATCCTCAGGTATCAGATTCATATCAGTAACCAAAGTGATGTGTATCTAGTATCCTTAGTTCAGTTGGGAATTGTTGGATATGCTGATTTTGGAATATTAGGCCACTGATGTGGGCATTTAAACATGAATTTAAGAACCCAACGTTAAGTAATCGGCATCTGAAATGATTACTCTCAGGAACAATAATTTCTTCTCATGAATGCTGTAATGACTGTGTAAAGCAAGGGACAGTGCTGTCACTAAAGTAAGATTAATTTTTGCTTCTTTGCTTTAGTTGAAGTAATTGCAGAACAATGCCCATTTAAAAAAAAAAAGTAGAACAAATGAGCTTGCAATAAAGATAATGGTTCCATTACTAAGAGTCCTTCATATCTGGATAAAATAAAATGTGATTTTTTAAATAAAAACAAATTATCTTCAAATTTCAAAACCATAAGCTTTGTGCAGTACCTTACTGCTTCCTAGGTCCATTCCAAGGTCTTCCCTAAGCAAAGATTGAGGCAGAAAGAGCTGTTTTGCCACTCTGTTCCTCTGTGAGATGAACAATGTAGCATCTACCAGACAGAGCATTAGGTCTTATTTGCCACTGTTAAACTGTAGACAGGCATACAAGAGGCGACATAGTTGACAGGCCCCTCACAGACATTCTGTTTAAGGGAGCGACAAAATTTTACCTTAAAGAAAGCAAGCTGGCAAGCGCTGATCATTAGTAATAGTCAACTGACTTCATCAAGTTTCAAAGTGTAGTTCTCTTCCAAGATTTGTGGTCGCTGAGGTTCTTCCACCTGTAAATACTTTAAAAGGCCACATCATTGCAGTTTTGAGCCCAGACAAAGAGGTTTTAGTACACAAAACCATCACCTTAGTTACGCCCTTAATACCTGTAAGATGAGATGCTGGATTTAATGAATTGTCTTCTAGGATAAAGGAGAGGGAGAAGAAGAGGAGGAACCCTCATTAGTTGTTGCACCAAAATGGAAAGCATCAGAAATTACCAAATTAACACTCTGGACTCCCCATGGGGAAAACCCATCTTCTCCTAGAGAAGCCTCCACAGTAGCGGCAGCAGAAGCAGTGGAAGAAAGAGGAGCAGCAGCAGCAACTGAAGAGAAAATGCCATCAATTGTAGGTTCGTTCTGCTGGACAGCTGGGAGCTCCATGCTTTGGCTATTCCCTGAAACTGTGTCTTTCAGGCTTAATGTCAAGTGGTGTGAGAGGTTTTGTTTTGTTTTGTTTCGTTTTTCCTGTAATTTACCCCATATTGAATGTTAGGAACTTCCAAGCTTGTTCATAAACTGAACAATATACATATGTCTATTTTATCTCACATAGCATAATGAGATACAACTGTCTTGGGAAGCCTGTGAATCATTTTAGTCTATATCATGGCCTGTTATACAAACTTGATTATAAACAGTTACAGAAGATTTTGTGAGGTTTCTCACGTGAGTAAAGACTGCAGACTTCAGTAGGAGTTATTAGCTAGTGCATGAAAACAATGGCTGAGTACAAATTTGTAAAGATTAATTTTCTTTGGTATTTCTAATTTCTCATATTTCAGTCACTGATGAGTCTGCTGAGGGTAGGGATGATGAGCCATCTCTTCATGAAGTATCCAGTGAAGTTTTTAGCCCAGCAAGGGATGCAGGAGAGGAAGATGAGGGAAGCAGAGAGGAAGAAGAAAACAAAGATCAGGAGGATCAAGGTGAGGAATGGGGCATGCATGCTCATTCTTCAGTTAGCAATCAGGTTTTGAAATTATGTATGTCAATCAGCTGAAGTCATGCTGCTGCTGAGAGGTCCATTATCAAGTTGACCAGACCTTGGGAATCTCTACTTGTCCGAAGGGGGGCAGTCCTTTGTAGATGTAAACTGGTTTTGAGTAGTCAAGTTCATATACTGTAACAGTACGAATCGGAAGTGACACTTCTGTGCAGCATTATCTATGCATGTACAGTTGGCAGCACTTGCAGGGCTGAGTTTGTAAGTGGTTGCTTTTGCAAACTCCTTTTTTGGGTACAAAAATGAGAGACAAGATTTCAGGCCCTGGGAAATTCAGGGGTTTTGAGCGCTCCACTTTTCTCTCATGAATGGAACTGTATCTTATTCTCTCATCTGGAGTTAAAAAGCAGGCAAACCAAATCTGTAGAAATATATTTTAGATATTGTTATGCATTATGGCTTGCACAGTCTCTGGCTGATTTGTTTCTCTTACAAACCAAAGAGATTTGGAATTCACTGCTCAGGTTTTCTTCCAGGCAGTTCAGAAGCCTGTTTTACTACAAAATTACTAAGAAGCAACAAAAGGATGCATCTATATGTACTCATATTTAGCCTATAGGCCTCCACCCACTCCTGCTTCAGGGCGGGCTAGCCAGCTTGCTGATCTGGTGTGCAGGACTGGCATCATACAGGGGTCCCTGGGCTTGGATCAGATCCAGTGGAAGCCTAATCAGGTTTCCAGCATAGGTCTGCTTTGGATTTGGCAAACGTTCACTGAGCCTGGTTGGTCTCAAAGTCTCTTGGACTCAAATAACCATTTTTTGGCTGAACTTGATGCTAACAAATTTTCTGGCCTACCACAATGAAGCAGTTCTGGTATTCCCATTGTTTTTTTGTGTGTGGGTTTTTTTTTTTTTTTAAAGAACAGATGGACCCAAGTATTTGTCAGAGACAGCATAGATGCGGATTCCCATGCATGAAAACACAGGAATGTGATAGATGTTCTCAAAGTTCCTTCCAGGTCTTTATTTCTAGAATTAAAAGAGTTGGATTTTCCACATTTTTCAGCATAGGTCTACAGCCATAATTAATTAAGCAACATACTGTTCCCCTTGTCCTTCTGTTTAGCAAGATTAAGTTACAGTAAAAGGAAATGATTTGAAGAAAATATGCATACTGTGAAGAGCAGATGCAGCAAAATCTGGTTTCTTGCAGCCTTGTATTCTCTGTCCCATTGCCATCACTTTTTTCCACAGAGGAATTCCATCCTTCTTTTTCCATGTTTCTCATGATACTTGTCTAAATAGGAGACATTCTTTGGCTATTCCAGAGTTACATATGGGCCGGCTGGCAGTCAATATGTGTGTACTGAGTCTGTCTGGCAGCTGACAAACAACATATCACAGTTAAATTCAAGTATTGGCAGCGAAAGGCGATGGGAAAGATGACTGAGGTAGACAGCATAGTCCTAGAATTATGTTTTAGGGTACTAGGATTACTTCCCAGTATTTTATAATAAAATGCATCTCTATGTCCTGTCTTTCCTCCACCTCTGCAGGAGCTACTAGTTTAGAGGATAAGGAGGATGAATCAAAGGAAGCAGAGTAATTGGATACAACTGAAGAACCAAAAGAAGGAAATTTCAGAGTGAATATTATGGTAAACCTGCAATATTTTTAGTCACAAAAGGCTCAGTTAATGTACTTTGAATAAAAATTTCTGTCACTGTTCTGTCTGGAATATTTATCTCTGAAACTTTTATGATCTCAGAGTGTGCAGTATCACGGCAATTTTCTTTATTCTACGTAGCAGGTAGTCAGGTGTTGAAATCAGTACGGGATTCTGGATTCATGAAGTTGTGTCCTCACAAGTTTGCAGAAGCAAACTCAATCTTCTCCCACTACTTGTAGATCTTCTCTTCCTTGAAGCCTGCTTCTGGACACACAGACCTGGGGTTCTTGCTTGTGACGACAAAGACAGCATTGGGCTTCCTGGCTCTATCTGTATCCCCTGCCACTAGACCACCAATTACAAGGCCTACATTTTCCTTGTTTATATTTTTTATTCTTCATGTAGCTGTAGAAGCTCTTCTTGTTGCCCTAAACCTCCCCTTGCTGGTTTGAACTCAAACTGAATTTTGCTTTCCTAAGACACTACTGCAGTGTTTTTAAATTCTTCCTTTATAGTCTGTTTTTGCTTCCATTTTCATAGAATCATAGAATCACTTAGGTTGGAAAAGACCTTCAAGGTCATCAAGTCCAACTGTTACCTAACACTGCCACATCCATCATTAAACCACATCCCTAAGCACCATGTCTAGATGTCCCCCCTGCCTCCAGGGATGGGGACTCAACCACTTCCCTGGGCAGCCTGTTCCAATGCCTTGATAACCCTTTCAGTGAAGAAATTTTTCCTAATGTCTAATCCAAACCTCCCCTGGCACAACTTGAGGCCATTTCCTCTCATCCTATCACTTGTTATTTGGGAGAAGAGGCCGACCCCCACCTGGCTACAGCCTCCTGTCAGGCAGTTGTAGAGGGCGATAAGGTCTCCCCTCAGCCTCCTCTTCTCCACCCTAAAAACCCCAGTTCCCTCAGCTGCTCCTCATCAGACTTGTGCTCCAGACCCCTCACCAGCTTCATTGCCCTTCTCTGGACACGCTCCAGCACCTCAATGTTCTTGTAGTGAGGGGCCCAAAACTGAACCCAGTGTTTGAGGTGCAGCCTCACAAGTGCCGAGTACAGGGGGACGATCACTTCGCTGCTCCTGCTGGCCACACTATTTCTTATACAAAATCAATATGTTCTGTATATTACTACTTTTTGTGTGTGTGTGTCAGCTCAGTCCCACATTTCTTGTTTACTTTATAGCCTTTCTTAAGCTGTTTAAAGGAGACTGTCAACCGATCAGGTGAAGAAGTGGATCTGTAACAAATGCCCAACACTATGCCAGACTTAATACCCTCGCTGATCCACAGGCTCTCAACCAGCATGTTGTGCATAGTATAGAAGAGCTCCAAGCATTCAAGCTGCTTCTTCACATGGAGGAAAACTCTCCCCCTCATTTTCCCTTTCTGTCTTTACTGGTGAGCCCTTCATTCACTGGAGAGCTCCAGTTGTGTGAGCTGTCCCACCACGTTTCAGTTTTTCCAAGGATGTCACAGTTCTGCTTCTGCACACAGAGCAGTTCCTATTTCTTCTGCTTTGCTGCCCAGGCTGGATCCATTTGTATATGTATACTTAAGGCAAGGTCCCTTTGGACTTGTTTTGTCTTGCCCAAGGGGTATCTTGCTCCCATCACCTTGCCCCATTTACTTGCCACCCCTGAACTCTGTTCCTTCACTTGTAGTGTAGCAGTTATCACCATCCTCCAAGGTATCAGGTTTAAGTCTCTCCTCACCAGATTTACAAACCTGTTGGCAAAGATACTCTCCTTGCTCCACCAAGAGGGACCCATGGTGATGAAAGCCAAAGCACTACCTAAGGTGACAGCCATGTGACCAGGTGCTACCTCTCAGGATTGCATCCCCTTCTACCTGACCTCTTCCCATGGAGGATCAAGGGGACATCCTGTGGGTTTCCATGTCCTTTGCCACCCAGAATCCTGCAGTTACTCCTGGTTTGCTCCAGGTGTCCCTCAACAGCATCACTGATGGTCACACTGGTGAGCAATGAGGGGTGACAGTCAGGGGACTGGATGAGCCTTGGACATCTCTCTACAGCACCCAGTATCTGGGCATCTACCACACAGCAAACCTCCCACGGCAGCGTGTTGGGTCAGCAGACAGTTTCCCTTTTTCCCTACCGAATGCGATTTCCAA